TATGTTTAGAATTGATTTATAAAATCAAGAGAGGCGGTAGGGCTCCTATTCGCCCTTCTTTGGACACTGATGATGAGCATAATGCGAGTATGTCGTTGCTAGTTCGCGATTGTTGGAGCGAAGAACCTGAACAGAGACCATCCTCTGATCAGATTAGATCACTCATCAAAGGATTCAATAATAACAAGTATGGACCCTATTTCCCTAGACTTTTACTTAAGATGTGATATTTTAGGTCTTCGAATTTAATGGATCATGTGTTCAATGTTCTGGAGCAATATGCCTCTAATCTGGAGGAAGAGGTAAAGTATTTTCCTTTTTCCTCCTTTGTTCTAATTAAAAGCTTTAAAAATTTCTAAACATTTGCAGAAAATTTATAGGTCCAGTCAAGAATGAAAGAGCTGACGGAAGAGAAGAAGAAGAGTGATATCTTGCTTTATAGGATGCTTCCAAAGTAAGTTGTAGCCTAAGTATTACTCTTGACGTAAATTCGGTATTGGCAACAGCAAGTAGTAATGCAGAGGATAGCCAGGGTGCATCGCGCTTACGGTAAGATTGCTCTCATCAAATACCATGAAAACAGCGACGTTGCTCTACTTGAACAAATATTTTGAGTATACGGATGTGCATTAATCTCTTTGCGGCACAAAGTCGAACAAAGCAATCTTTTTTGATTTGAAATCTTAAAAATTTAGGCAAGTCGCAGAAAAGCTGAAACTTGGTCAATCTGTTGAACCAGAGACATTTGACTGCGTAACCCTATTCTTCTCTGATGTGGTATCCTTCACTACACTGGCTAGCAGATGCACTCCTCTACAGGTAAACATAGTAAAAACTCAACTGCAACAAAACAAAAATCTGAAATTGTATCTTTAAGGTTGTAAATCTCTTAAATGACTTGTACACCGTCTTCGATGCGATTATTGATGAGCATGATGTCTACAAGGTTTGCTTGACCAACTTTCGTAATACTTTTAATTTTTTCGAGGACTTGAACAAAAAATTTTGGGTTGAAACGATCGGGGATGGTTACCTCTGCGTCTCTGGTCTCCCTCATCGGAATGGCGACGAACATGCGAAAGAAATCGCTGAGATGTCTTTCAGTCTTCTTCGTGCTATCCGCACATTCCGGGTACCTCACTTGCCAGATGAGAAGATAAACATCCGTGTTGGAATGCACACAGGTTTGACGATGGTGATTATACTTGATTTTGATTACTGTCAGATTTTCTTCAGGATCCGTTGTAACTGGTGTGGTTGGTGTAACTATGCCAAGGTACTGTTTGTTTGGTGATACCGTGAACACCGCCAGTCGAATGGAAAGCAATGGAAAACGTAAGGAGAACACATAACGAAGTCACTCACGGTGAAATTTTCGGAATTTTAGCAGGTCGTGTGCACATCTCTGCTGATACTATGAGATTCCTGACTGAAAAAATCGGTGGTTACAAAACTGAGTTGAGAGGAGAGGTTATTGTCAAGGTGGGTTTGTCTCGATTTTAGGAATGTCCATAGTATGCACGTTAAAACTTCAGGGCAAAGGTGCTCTGGAGACTCACTGGCTACTAACACCAGAGGAGCAAGAAAATGGACTCGTGGAGTAGATGTCCATTTTGCTTGTCTTCTCCGACGCAAATTTATTAACAACATGTTTTTTTCCCTGAATTGCTCCACTAGTATTATTGACCCATTTGCTAACTCCAAATAGAGAGCATTT